CTCCTCCACTTCTTCTTCTTCTTTTTTTTTCTTTTTCTTTTAAAAAAAAATATGTATCCCTTACAATACAAGGTCTTAAGTCCTCACTTTCTGGCTTGGAAACTTACCTTGCTATAAGCTTTTCGGTCTTACTGAGTAATAAAGTAGTCCTGGAACAAAAGGCTGGATTCTTCCAACCTGCTCTTTCTTTGTGGAGCTTTGCCCTGTCCTCTGTTCAAATGTGGAATGTAAATTACTATTTTATATCTTATTTTAGAGACAGAATATACATTTCACAGCTGGCTTGTTTTCTGTACTGGACTCACTTGCCAAGATGCTTCTCTGTGTCAGCAAGAGAACTGTTTGTTCCTGAGTTAATGGACCAGTTTTCTCCATGTGTTTCCCAAATCAAGGTGGTCCCTCTTTTTGTGTGTGTGAATGTGTGATACTTTGGCCTAGTCATTTCTACACTGCACACTATTCAAAGGGCTACTTATTTGTTTACAATGGGCTTTTTGGAGTTTATTGTGAAGCTGGCATAGTGGTGTAATCAGGAATTGTCCTTCCTCAATCGTTGTTTTGCATCAATAAAGTTGTGCAGTTTTTTTCCCCTGTTGTCATTCCAATCATTTATTTATTTATATTCTACCTTTATTATTTTTATAAACAACTCAAGGCGGCAAATATATCTAATGTTCCTTCTTCCTCCTGTTTTCCCCACAACAACAACCCTGTAAGGTGAGTTGGGCAGAGAGAGAGAGTGACTGGCCCAAAGTCAGCCAGAGTTCTTGCATTAACAATACCAGCCAGTCATCTTTTCTTTCAAACTATCAGTAGTCTTCTCTTCTGCCTTAAAGATCATGTAGAGCAGCAGCCCCCAACCTTTTGGGCACCAGGGGTCGGTTCCGTGGAGAAAGGCTTTTCCACAGACTGGAGAGGATGTGGTTTTGCATGCTGCCTACATACTGCAGCTGGCGCTTTGTTTGCATGGACCAGTTGCTGGGATGCCGTGGACCAGAGCCGGTCAACGGATCAGGGGTTGGGGACCTGTGATGTAGACGAAAGTTTGACTTTGCTGACAGAAGGGCCTATGCCAGTGGTGGTGAACCTGTGGCACGTGTGCCAGAGGGGGCACTCAGCCCTCTCTGTGGGCACGTGTGTCATCGCCCCAGCCCCATTTCCCCCCATGGCCCCCTTCTCATCAGCAGTCCCCCCGGAAGATGACTCGCCCCAGGTGCGGCCCACGCGGGGACAAAACTCCGCCCTCGTGTCCCATTGTGTGCAGACAATGTTGTGAGGTGCAGGCAGAGGGCATGGCCGCCATGGCACTGCTGGGCCACCTGGGCGATCGGTGGGCCGTGTAGGCGGTGGATGGCCCTGCGGGCAGGTGGGGCAGTGGTACAACGGGGGGCGGTTTTGGGGCACTCAGTCTCTAAAAGGTTTGCCATCACTGGCCTATGCATTCACTCTTTGACTTTACTTCTTTATTCAATTAGAACAGGGGTGCAAGTTACGGTATACTTGGACCTTTCCAGCTTTTCTATGAGATGGAACCTTCACCAATGCGTTTCTCTTTGGATGGTATGTTCTGCTTTAATCTGCAGACTGGACATCCACAAAAGTTATACACGAAGTCATAAACTTACCACCAATGAATTTGGTCTTTCAACTTTCATATACTACAGTTTGGGAAGATAGCAAAGTTGGTGGAGGCACCCAGAAACAAGAATTACTCCTGTTGTAGCATTTAGCTTTGGACGCTATTCTGGATGCATTTTTCAGATCAAGAGTTCTAATCACAAGACATCCTCAAAAAATTATGATGGGAAAATATGGGAAGGATTTCAAATAAACAAGAGCAATTGGAATTCCACATTTATGAATGACATTGGTAAGGAAGGTCTCTAGGACTGCATCTGCCTGCTGACTTTTCTCTGGAGCCTTGGGCTTGGAATATCTATGCAGAAAGAAAGCATGCTTAAATACGTGAACAATGTGAATGGAATTAAATAAAAAACCTCTTACAAATGTCATTGTTTCTTACTGCAAAACCTTGGTTGAGGAATAGTAAAATGCTTAATCCATATAAGGCCAAAGTACAGTATGGGCCAGATTGTCTCCATTTCTTTGCAAATCAGTTTGTATATAAACATGGCTATTAAAAGGCTAGCCATGATGTTATAATTACCTTCAAATTGGCTTGTTTTTAAGGGCCCAAATCTTAGCAATTTCCCAAAATATAAAATGTTATTTTAGATTCCTGCAGATACCATTTAAGGAAGAAGTTTATGTGTACCGTGGGACTCACAGATATGTTGTTACTCTGCCTTGGCTTGTACTTCTCAAAAACCTTTTTTTAGTTGTTCAGCAGCCTGTGTGAAAAATAATTAGGAGCCGCTGGCTTAGCTTAGTGAATATTGCTCTGGTGCAGTATTCATGCAACCAATTTTGTTAAAAAATTGAAATTTTGGGGGAGTGTACCCTAATAGTTTTTCGACAGACAGTTCTGTAGTGTTTTTTGCAACCAAATGAGAAGCTGCCAAATGTATCAATAAGCATAATTGGGGTATCTTAGGTTAAAGCTGGATTTTGTACAAATTTGTTTCGTACAAATGTAGGCAAGAACATTTGGTTCTTGCCTACATTTCATCCTTACATAATCTTCCTTAGCCCTCTGTTAAAAAAAAAATGAGGTCTTTTTCTTAAGTAAAAGAGCCACTTTTACAATAAGTACAGAATGTGATCTTCTGAAATGGAAATTACGCCAGTGAATCCACAGAAGTATTTTCATGTCCATTTGCTTCTGTATATTTTCTTCCCACCTCCAATCTCGACTGTTTTTAAAACTCATTCCTTGCATTTTGATCTGATATATGCTTTAACTGGCACAACCCACTTAGATTTACAATCTTTTTTTAAAAAAAAAAAAGCTTGAGAAGTCCTTCTCAAAGGAGACTGCTGCATTAAAGCACCTGATGCTACTAAAACACCTTGTAGAGTTACTGGTGTCCTGCGTATAAATGACATCTGTAGCTGATGGTGTTTTCTCCAACAACTCTTCTTTCACTAGGAGTTTGGTGTAGAACCTTGTCTAGGGCCATTGTTTCGGTGCTGCATGCTTGGATTTTCTTTTGATGGAATAACCAGGGGTAGGCAACCTTGGCTCTTTTATGACTCGTGGACTTCAACTCCCAGAATTCCTGAGCCAGCTGGGAGTTGAAGTCCACGAGTCATAAAAGAGCCAAGGTTGCCTACCCCTGGAATAGGTGGAAAAGGCCTTGCTGCAACCCTGGCATAGAAGCGAACACCAGAATTTTCACTGTGCCACTCACAAGTGCAAGTGTGGATATCTCCATGGTTTTGAACTTCACAGAATAAAAAAAAGCTTTGTGTGATAAAGCAAATCACCAGCTTTCAAGATCATCTTGGGTTCTACAGAAACTTGGAAAATTAAAATGTCAAGTGCCTATATTACAGAGCTTGCTTGCTTCGTAAAATTTGCATCTCGCCAGAAAAACACAAGGGTAAACTTGGGTGGATAATTGCTACCTTGGAGGGTTATAAAGGGTGATGTGAGCAGCATCTCATTAGTTTCGCTTCTGATAAAGGCAACATTTTGAGATTAGCTATTCCCACTAAAGGATGCATGAACATATCTTCCCAATTTCAGCCTTTTTTTCACTGAACATTCATAGTACACACACAATCAAAAAGGGTCATTTGACCCCAAAAGGTTGGGGAGCCCTGAGCTAAGAGGTCACAACAAAGGTATTGTAAAGGGTCCATAGTTTTAGCTCATACTGAATCGGATTTTACACTAAAGAGCAGCTGTGATTACTACGAAAACTGAAGCAAGTGTTAGGACACCACTTCCCTAAATAACAAGTGACAGAAGACAGCTCAGTAAATGCAACAAGCAAGTTCTCATTATTTTTCTTTTTGCTTCATATCTTGGCTGATTTTCATTTCCTGCTAAAAGATACTTCTATGTATCCTCCTTCAAATATTCTCCACCCGCTAACTGTGCTGTTGTTTAGGGTGTTCATGGGCACCTAAACTACATAGAATCTTTGGACTAACATCTCATCTTGTATTTATGGTTCCAAACAAATCCCTTTATGTGACTCCGATATTCATTAGGTATTCCTATTCTTCCAGCTCTCTCTGTTCCATGCACTGCGTAGAACGCTTACAAAATATTTCTTTTAAGTTTTTAAACATTTCCTTCTTTCTAATGTGTGCACAAAACTTACTTTTCCTCCTGTGATGTTTTTAACAGCCAATTTTTAAAAATGGAAATGGTCATGGGACAAAAACTCTGCTCTGCGTTACTGGTTTATTTACAAAATCATATATACAACATATGATCAGTCCAGGTCTGGGTTTTCTCCCTTATGCCACCCCTCCCTGATATTTTAAATATATAAGCAGGTCCTCAACTTGAGGAAAAAAAACGTCCCAAGAGCAAGTGCTGGTCTGCTTTAAACAAGCCTTTTCTTCTCTAAGGAGTAGATTGGAGAGAGAAGGAGAGGGAGAGGGAGAGGGAGAGAGAGAGAGAGAGAGAGAGAGAGAGACCTTATATACAAAGCAACATGAACTTGGAACATAACAATGAGAACTAACCCACTAAATGACAAGAAAGACGTTTGTGCTCTCTGCAAACAATACTGTAATAGACATCTGGCCACAAACATCTGGAGGCCTAGAGTTTGCAGCAGAAAAGGTCCTTTCCAGGTAGGTATGGTTTTACTTCAGTGTTTCCTTACAGGGGCATGTTACGTCCTCAGCAGATACAAAGTATGTCAAGCAAGAGGCCTCTGCAGGAGTGGAAGAGTGAGAAAAGAGAACAACATCTGCTTCTGAAGCATGTGCTGCTTTCTGGCTTCCTGTGCAGGAAGTTCTTTCCTTTTCTAGGCTATTCAGCCCCAGCCTGTTCATGATGTTTCAATTTTGCGCAAGGTGCAGCTGTTCGCCTCTGGCTTCTGATTTGCAGGAGGGCTGCCACAGGGTCACTTTTTTTTTTTTTGTCTTCTGCAAAGGGAGACGGCAGCCATTCTTGCTCGGCACCGTATGGCGGCACGTGTCACTCTTTGAATCCCTGGATGCTGCACAGAATTCGCTTCTGGTGGCCAGGAAGAACCACACCCATTTGCTTCAAGTCCCTTAAATCACACAGATAAGGAGAAACGTTAAGCCTGCTGCATTTGCTAGAGAAGACGGTCAAGTTACAGGAATGGACCATTTCCTAGAGTGGTGGCAACCATGAAAGGTAGTCCCCCCCTCCCTTTTCCAGTTATTAATAAAATAAATAGAAAATGATTTCTCAAGATCCATTCTTCATGAACGTACGTGAAACGTGGAATTTAATTTAATTTAGTTAAGTTAATCCCAATTGCTGGGTCTAGCAATGGGACCTGGCAAACACTAAGAAGGGAAGACAGACAATATTTTTTGCAGTAGCTGAAGATTTTATAATGAACCCAAAATGCTTCTTAATGTTATTGAAAAGGGAAATGCAGGTGCAAAGCTTTAAACAGCTAGCTTTATTTCTTGTCTTATAAAAAACAGACCACTGTGTGTCATTGTATTACAACAACATCTAATTTAAATCTATATGGGCAATACTTTTTAAGACCTGTGCATAAATGTCACGTGTCTGTAAGGTCATATTAGATATATGCTAAAATAATCCTTGTGCAACAATTCCCTAAAAGTGTTATCTGCCAAACATTTTCTTTCCGGCTGGTGAATTTTGCTGTGTTGTTAATATTGATTACTTGCATATGTCTGACATATTCAGGAAATACTGCAGATGTATACCATGTTATAACAAAAGAGACATGTTTATTGTTTACACGGATATTTTTTTTTGTCCTGTGACTTTTTCATATTCCTATTCATAGTATCCTCTTTTGGGTGGCAGAGGTTTTCATTTAGTGTTATAAAAGCTGTCATTTGGCATTCTGTACCCTATTTCTGTCCTTGATTAAAGAGTTCTTGCAAGTTTTTGAAGTACTGTAAAAGCCTAGAAAGCTATTTTGGCCGGAAACATCACAGTGCTAGTGGAAATTGGCAAACGGCTCATGGATTCTTATGTCCTTGCCATGCCACTTCTCACTCTTTGAAACCCCAAAGAAATGTTTTTCTTTACCCTCGCTAACTGCTCATTTACAAAATGGAGCCAAAATAGAGTTGGCTGTAGCTTTTTACCCATTTCCAGTTCCTCAAAGGAACAGTATTGCTATGGCTATGTGCTTGTTGCTGTACAGATCCAAGCAGCTACTTGGATTTTAGCTGCTTTACTCTTTTTTGAGATATAGCCTGGAAGTTAATATGTGGAATTAGCATCTTTCTTTCTATCAGGAAAAATACCGTCCGTGCTAGTTGGGTGGAGGAGCAATGGTAGCAATCCTAACATCTACAGTGGTACTTCCAAAGGTTCGCTGCCAAAAAAAGGGATCAAATATTTAAAGGGCTGAACTTTAGCTGATGTATAGTTCACCAAGTTTTTTTCAAACAGATGGAGGACGATGCAAGGGTGTGGAAGCATGAGGATGCTACAGTATCTTTGTTGTGTTATGAATTTGTTGTGTTATGAACTACAAGCGACCTGCAAAAGCTATGAAGTTCTTTGTACTCGAGTAAAAATGTAATAGATACTCTGGCATTTAACTGTATCTCATGCTTACCAGCCTTCTTCTACCCTAGATCAAAACCCACAGCCCTGATACCCAAGGCTTACTCAGCAGACAGATCCAGGATAGATTCCATGGTGTTCAGGCCAGCCGTATGGAAGTTGAGGATGTAGCGTTTCATGCGGATGGATTCCAACCACTCGGGGATAGTCCGATAAGGAATCCCATCGGACCCACTGCAGCTTGGAAGTCGAAGGGTCACCCTATAAATTGATAGATATATTCAGACCAATTATGAAATTTAAAACTGTAACACTGGAGAACAGGATCCTATTTTGATGAAGCTAGAAACCATTTTAACGGCTGAGAAGCTCCTAACGTTTGTGTGGAGAATTTTGCTTTTCACTCTTTGCCTTGCATGGAAACTAGCCTTGCACAGTCAGCGCTTTTTTCCATAATAGGGACAAGGAAGATGATTTCGCACATTGCCTAGAAAGAGCGCCCTAAATGAGTACCTGTAGGATACAAATGTGCAGGTGCACCAAACAGAGCTTTGTATACCGAGTTTATCTCCTCATAAACAAGTACAATTAACCCTGGTGGTAAAATTCAGCTTTTGTTGCTGAAGAATTATTTTTAGGGAGAATCTCCCAAAGTGTTCTAAAGGAGCTGCTTATCTCTTACCGAGGGTCAAAATCAGCCACAGTTCGAAGCAAATGTGGGCTGGAAAGGAAGTGCTCTAGTTGAGCCTGGATCTCCCGGAAACGTGGCCTCCGTGTCCGATCGTATGACCAACACACTTTCATCAGATCATAAAGGATAGAGGGACAGTCCACTGGTGGGGGAAGTCGGTACCCATCCTCTATGCTTTTCATCACCTACCCAGGAAAAGAGGCAATCAATCAGGTTGTCTGTGCAAAATTCCTTCAACAATATAGCAGAGGTATGACGAGTTCTGGGCATTTCTTGATCTCGGATCTAAGCACTGAAATCATTTGGAATTAGAATCATGAATTTTCAGAGATGTAGATTATTGTTTGAACCACGGATGCCAGATTAAATAATCTACATGATTAGATCAATGTATTTTAAAAGCATTAAAATGTTTATTTTAAAAAGTGCAAAGTACTATCAGGGCAAGGCCCCTCTGAAGGTTATGTGATTATGATGTGAATGAGTCATTTCAAATGAAAAGCAGTTTATTTTTATTTTTTTTCAAAGCATTGGGTGTCAACCTCCGGCTGAAAAGCCAACCAAAGCAAAACACCAGAGCCGTTGTGTTCTCTAATGCAGGGGTCCCCAACCTTGGCAACTTTAAGACCTGTGGACTTCAACTCCCATAATTCCCCAGCCAGCATGTCTTAAAGTTGCCAAGGTTGGGGACCCCTGCTGTAATGTATACTTTATTGAGCAGATACAAACCAGCAGGTTTAAAGGAAAAGCTAGCTCTGAGGAAATGGCAGGAAGCAGTTAATTAAAAGGATGCAACTTTCCCTCCTCTCTCTGACAGGTTCAGGTCACATTGCCCAATACATCGTTCAGTAATTATTATGAGAAGAAATTTTAGTTCGCCAAAACAACCTTTCAACAGCTCCGGCTCTCACACTGATAAGAACCCCTGTGGATTCAAAATTCTCCCCTCTCTTCCTCCCACACTGTTGGCAAGTTCAAAGCATGTAACGGTCCTAAGGACTGCAGGGTTCGCAGCTTGACATTGGGCAGAATTCGGCAATAGCACAATTCTTCTAGTAATTTTTCCCCACTTGCAATAAAGGAAAGAAAATTCTTAGTTGATCGCTTGTCTACTATAGTAAACAAAATCTGCCCCCCCACCCCACCCCAAATCTGTATAAAGTGAGGAATCTCTGAGGCAATTCATGGCGAAGGAACAAAAGTATCTTCTCTTCTTCTGGTTTTTTACCAGTGGAAACGTTTTATGTGAAATTCAGAGTTCTCCCGTTGGTAGGATAAACATTTCTGACCCGGGAGTATATATGTTGGCATAAATTTCACGATTTATTATCAACAATTTCTTCAACAGAACAGCCTATTTATGACTGAACAAAAAAATGGAGACCTGACCAAACCATTTTTTCCCCTCCAGGTTCTTTGCTCCAATATTTGCTTGTTCAGAGGATGGTTTGACTAACAATCCCTGTTTCTCCTTTCCCTCTTACCTCCTGATTGGACATATCCCCATAGGGCTTGTCTCCATATGAAAACACCTCCCACATGACGATGCCAAAACTCCAGACATCGCTGGCAGAGGTGAAGATTCGATTCGCAATGGCCTCTGGAGCTGTCCACCGAATAGGGATCTTTCCACCCTGTTCAACGAGATTGCAACGGAAACTGATACTCGGCTTTTGCAAGCGCTAAGGGCTGACATTCTCTGTGAAGTTAAACTTTTGATTGTTTTATGCTTACTAATAAATAGTAAAGCACAATTGTTGCTTTGGGCATAGATGCATTTGCATTCTGTAATATAACAGAAAAACAGTGTGGCTTTGACAGCTCTATGGCTCTTTGAATGGGAATATATTCTTTGCAGACATATTTAAAAATCAAAAGTTTTTTTTTAATATTGTGGGGCATAAATACATGCTGGTATTTCCTCCCCTCAGTGAGGAGTACCCCCCTAATAGCTTCGGTTCTGCATTACCTTTGTTTCATATGTTCCTTCCACATCGTTTTCCAGGATTCGAGAAAGTCCAAAATCTGAGACTTTGCACTGAAGGGTGTGTGATACCAAGATGTTGCGGGCAGCTAGATCACGATGTACATAGTTGCGGTCTGAGAGATAGGTCATCCCTGAGGCAATGCCCTGCAGCATCGTCACTAACTGCACCGAACTGAACTTGTCGATGTTCTCCTGAAGTGCACACAAGGGACACTAATGAATCCTTGTATTCTGTTCATCTGTTTGCTTCACAGCAAGGAAAGGGGGTTACATTTATCCTAGGTAAGAGGAACTAAGTCTCCATTCCCAGCTGAAAACCTTCACTTTAGGGATATATTCAAATAGTTCACCAAACCAGCAGGATGCTTCTACAACATAGGATTCACTCAATCAAAACAAGCTATAGATTTTGCTAGGAGTATTTACTTATACTCCTAAAAAGTAAGCAGAGGTTGGAGGTTTCCAGAACCACTGAGTACCACCCTATGGCTATGCAGCCTGGGAGAATGAACATAACTTAGGGCGATGGCGAACCTATGGCACGTGTGCCACAGGTGGCACGCAGAGCCCTCTCTGTTGGCATGCGCATCGTTGCCCCAGTCCTAGGCCTTCAGCTGGGTTTTATAAAACCTTTTCACTTTAGGCCTCTGCTGCCGTGTGCAAAAAAAAAGGTTCAATCAATCAATTTCAACTTCTCGCGGGGAAAAAAAAGATCTCGCAAAGTTGGAATTGATTGATTGAACTTTTTAGTCCCACCCAGTCTGCCGTTACCACCGCAGCCACACCCACCCAATGGGCCACACCCACCCAATTGGCCACACCCACCCAATGTGCCACGCCCACCTGGCACCCAATAATACATAAGTGGGTTTTGGGTTGCAGTTTGGGCATTCAGTCTCTAAAAGGTTCGCCATCACTGACTGAGGTAGACAGAGTTCCAAAGCTTTAAAATGGATGGGGAAAAATTAACAAAGTTGGCATCAGCTAAATCAGTATTTCTCAACCACAGCAACTGTAAGATGTGAGGACTTCAACGCCCCAAAATCCACATATTTACCTTGCTAAAGTTGAGAAACACTGAGCTAAATGGCCACCGGATCATGCGTACAGCAGCTGTGGCACTATCACAGTGAAAGACCCATGTCTAAGAATGAGAATACTGAGTTAAGAGCTGGCTGTATTTCCTGCTGCAGCGTTGACAAAAGGTGTCACTGTATGTGTAGAAGATGACCAGACTGAGCTTGAGGGAGGGGACAAGTATTTTAGTTTAGAATCCCTTCGCACCTGCAAGAGACCTAAGTCCATCCCTTCTTGAATTCCGTTGATGCTTATCTACAGCCAATTCGCCTTGACTGTAGTAGTTCAGATTCTTCTTTGGAGGTACCATGAAATAAACTTGTATTCATTTTGGAAATGTTACAGCTCAGACACACATTCACAGGTTTAAATCTACATTGTCACCAAACTCTTAGATTAAACCATTCTCCAGTTTCTTACCCTTAAAAAGGTGTCTAGGGCCCCATTTTCCATGTATTCTGTAATAATCATCATTGGATTCCCTGTAGGGGGGGGAAGAAGAAAAAATACTAAAGTTATTTTCTTATTATCCCCATATCTTCACCTTCCTTCCCATTTCTTTGGCCAAGAACACAGATTTTATTTCAGTCCAAGAGGTCTGATAAATATACTTTTGGAGGAGCTAAAGGCTACTATCCACATAATCAGTCCTTTCCCCTGTCTAGCTCACTATTGCTTATTCAAACTAGCAACAGCTACCCCAGATCAAACACAATCTTTCAAGAGCATTTTACACATCAAAAATCTTTTGTGCACAAAACCTGTGTTCTTCCAGGGAACCACAGCAACTTCACATCCAACCAACTTACCTCTATCTTATCTCACCACCATCACTGTGTGTGTATATGTCCCATTGCCATTACAACTCTGAATTCTTACGTTTTGTGACAACTCCCTCTAGCCGGACAATGTTGGGATGGTTGAATTGGCCCATGATAGTTGCCTCACGGAGGAAATTCCACCAGGTTGAATCTGAGTAAGTTGACTTCAAGGTCTTGATGGCCACAACAATACGTTCTTTCCCTGGGAAGTGCAGGGCACCACAATAGACCTCCCCAAATTCTCCTATGGAACATCCAAAGAGAAGGCAGAGCATAAAGAAAATGGAGAAATGTTATCAGGAGAGGCAGAGACAATCAGACCTAATGAAACTTACCTTCACCAATAACTGTGTCAATGGAGACAAGAGATGGGTCAAGTTCCTTTGTGAATTCTAAGACACCCCTTCTGGGATCCTCATATGGTTGGAGATCTACATAAGGTTTCAACCACATCTCATCTGTAATAAAAGCTGACAATATAAACTAGTTTCTCTCAAAAGTTTCAGACAGCTGGGGAAAAATCAATTTCATTGACTTGATGATAAATAGGGTCCTCCCACACTGCAGTCCTAAACATATTGGATAAGAAGTAAATTGTGCTGGGCTACATAAACCCTACTTTCGTGAATAAACACCAGGCTGCTGAAAACTTCCTCATTCAGAAAAATCTCCCAACAATATGCTCCATCATGGTACTTCTTTGAGATGTGTAAACAGTGATGCCCTGGGAACTGAGTGTGAATGAAGAAATGGTAAGAGAAACCATTTCTCCATTTTAATTCTCCTCTAGTGTTTTTTTCCCCCCTTTGCTCAAAAAATATGCTTCGGGAGGGTGCATTTGGGGAAAAAGTGATCAGGAAAGGTTGGCCAACAATCTACTAAAACTTATCTATTCTGATTACCTCTATCTGGTTACTCGAATGCCCCCTGATTACTATATAACAGTCTTTTGCTAATTGGCATTCCACAGATACGTTTTCTGCAATGCCAATTGCCCCTCTACCCATGTCATGAAACTTCTGAAGGTTCTAAAGACTGGAGAAGGCCACTGTGCTTGAATTCTAGAATGCAGTCCTTTGTCATCTGCCCTTAAAAAAAACAAAAACCTGACGCCTCACCTCGGTTGTAGCCATTGTGGCATGGTCGTGCTCGGTGATGATGAGCTCGTCTGAAGAATAAGAATAAACATAAATAGAGGCCGTAAGCAAGCAGAGAATAGAACAGGGTTGTCTTTGATGACAACAGGGTTGTCTTTGATGACAACCCTTACACCCATCGCCTCTTTCCCTTGGGAGCTGCTGCCTTTACCTTCGATGGAAGATTATGAGCCCAGTGATCAGCCCAATGAACAACAGGATTCCAAAGATAATTGACACAATCACACCTCCAGGAAGCATACTGGTGTCTGCAAGATCAAAGGACGTATTTCAGACATCACTTCACTCGAACAAGAAAAGCTATTTATAAATACATATTGAAACTCTTTTATTCAAATAAGAATAAGGATCAGATACTGAATGTCAACACGGAAGTGGTCATAATGCATAATTAAAACCGCAAAAATGTTCCATGTGGTTATCTCCTGTTTTATGAAGTATGGACTCTGAATTATTGGAGCTATGTATACATTTTTTTTAACTTGATGTTACATATATTTTTGCATGATACGCTTTGTGCTTTAATACGCTTACAGAAATAGTTTTAAAGCACAATACATCAAATTGGTTGCACTATTTAGCAATCAGTTCTGGTTTATTTATAAATTCCTGATGCATCAGGTTATTAGAGGAAATGATGGAAATAAACAGTGATGATGTCTACGCCCAAAATAGAAATGCTAAATTTATCTGAAAATTCTATATTCAGGGGGGATATTGAAGCTTTTATAAGTGGGTAGTTTGACCAGATCTCAAATAATGCTCTTAACAATGACTGTCTTATGGGTAATTCTTCCTGTATGTTGTTTTCCTAATTCCATTTACAGAAACAATATTTGGTGGTTTCCACCATGCTTGTTCCTCTGACATTGTTTAAATTGCCATAAAGGGAACCATATGGACGTTAGAGGAATTTCATACTGCAACTGTATTCAACATAGGCAGCTACAGTGATGGACCCCAGGGAAAATGTATATGTGTGGAAAAAAAATGGAACAATCCCAAGCGTGTGGTCAACTGGCATCAGGAAGCCATATCAAGGCTCATAGGTTTTTATTTGCTCTTCATATTTTATTGCAGAAACTGGCACGATTCCCTGTCGATGACAAACATAGCTGCTGTGTAAATAATGCGGCAGATCTGTTGCCAAAGGAAAAGTACGGTATTTTCATTGAGAGACTTTTTAGCTGCCATTACTTCCTCTTTCCAATCTCTCCAAAGTGCTTTGATTGCCCTAACTTCTGCTGACTCAGAAAATGATTAAAAAAAAAATTACTCTTCTAACTTGAGTGCCATGGAGCCTGGTGGAACAAAAATCTCATCTCCAAAAAGTCTGGCACTCTGCGTGCTGTTTGGCAACTGATACAAAAAGAGCAAAACAGCTATAATCTCTAATCCCTTTCACTGGCCTGGGCTATTGAGGAGAGCTGCAAAGCCAACATTCCACTTAGAAGACCCGTCAGGGCAGATGTATCTCAGGGGTCAAGAGGAGTGGGGGGAACAAGAATTCTCTCCAATGGTGGAATGGCTTGTCCCTAAATTTTGCAGAGCTCCAAGGTTCCTGTTTCAGCCAGCTTTACAGCATTTCTTTGGCATAACAGTTCATTGAAAATTGGCTCAGCTGCCCAAAAAGAAATAACAAGGGCTCACAAAATCATGGAGCTGAGCTGAAAGTATCTAGCACGGGAATCCTTTCAGTCTTGTCTTTTGAACTGTGTTTATTAGTTCATTTTGCTCTGTGCTACTTATTTATTTAATGGCATTTTAAAGAACATCATCCAGGACGAAGTCAAATTACATTTAGAAACTCCATATTTTGATCACATCCTTTAAAAAAGCAGCGGTCATGAAGTTAATGTATCTTTGCTCATGATGGCAACACTGCAGGCAGCGTCTTTAAATAACACTTCAGTAATAATAGTACGCTGTTCCATCTGGATATAGGAGGGTGCAACAGAGAGACCCTGGAAAATGAGATGCAATTGCATTTGCCCCTTTCTTTTATTGCACAAGGGCAACATGACTTATCATCCTTTGACTGGTTCTTCGCTTTTAAAATTGGTATTAACTCCACAACATGAAGCAAAGTTTAGTTCATGCATTTCCTTATTAAACATTAATCGGGCACTCTAAACACCAGTATAGCTTATTCAGACCCACTAAAGATAGTTCTTGACTTACAACCCTCCATTTAGTGAGTGTTCCAAGTTATAACAGCACTGAAAAGAGTGACTTTCAACCAGTCCTCACATTTATGACTGTTGCAGCATCCTCATGTTGGTCACATGATTAAAATTGGGGTGCTTGGCAGCTGGCATGTATTTACGACAGCTGTAGCATCCTGAGGTCGTGATTGTCATTTGCAACCTCCCCAGCCAGTTTCCAACAAGCAAAGTCAATGGGGGAATTCATTTATTGAACATTTGTTTCACTTAATGATCATGGTGAGTTGCCTAACAACCACAACAAAAAAGGTAATGAAATTGGGTATACCTCACTTAACAACCACCTTGCTTAGCAATGGAAATTCTGGTCTCCATTGTGGTCATAAATCAAGGACTACTCGTATTTCTTCTTTTTAGAAATTCTTATAGAAGACAAGGTAGAAATTATGGCAAAATGCGCATCTTCTTTGTAAGAGGGAAACATAAGATGGAAAGATTCTGGTCTGGATCCTGGAAATATTGCCAGACTTGTTAGGTGCATGTCTTGTCCTTTGGACGTCCTTTCTAAAGAGGACAATTAATAGCACTCAATCCTCTTAGAGCAGGGGTAGGCAACCTTGGCTCTTTTATGACTCGTGGACTTCAACTCCCAGAATTCCTGAGCAGCCATGGAATTCTGGGAGTTGAAGTCCACGAGTCATAAAAGAGCCAAGGTTGCCTACCCGTCTTAGAGGATTTCAGGAGCTGGGAGCTCGTCAGCATTATAGGGCAGAGAGATGGACATGGAAGGCAAAATGCTAAATTAAAGACAATCCAGGATAATATTCTGAGGGAAATTCTGAGTCTTCCTTGGAATATTCTTGCTGACCCATGTAAAACAGAAACAGGATAGCCCTCAATCTCCACTAGAGTTCATTTAAAAACGAATGCTAAAATATTTCAAGAAAGTTGATAGCTCCTGGATGACTATTTGATTAAATCTTGCATTAGGCATAGCCATGAGAGAGTCCATGGGTAACGCCAATAACAAAACACACTTTCAGGCATTTTGTGGCTGCATTCTCTGACTTTATTGCAGAATCTTAATCTTTGGGACAACGGGATGCCTTCTAAGATGAATGATGATGATGGAATTCAATTCAATCTTCCAAGTTTACCTCTTTCTTTTACCTTGTTAAAAGATACCTTGTTAGAAGAAAGACGGGGCCTTTTCTTGACATTTATCCGTTCTAATGAGTATACACCCAAGGAGGGTATTTACCCATTCATGTTTGCAAACCCTGCCTTCAGCACTCCTTCGGGGAAAAATTCTCTAAATCTCCAGTGAAACAAGGCCTTTGCCCCTTTAGTCAGGGTCAAGTGGAGAATATGAAAAATATTTTATATTGACACTTTATGGAACGATGAGAACAAAAAAAGGCTGGGTCAGAGTCCTGGGTGATTAATTTCTGTAAGAGTGAATATTTCTTATACTAGTAATCAAGTAGCTATTTTTACCTTGTAGTCTGTTAACTCTAGAAAGAAATTTGTTATTATTCTAATTGCTGATTCCTGATTATCATTAAATAGAAAAGATGTTATGCCATTATTTTATGTTGTTGTACAAATATAATACAGAATTGAATTAATATAATGTTTAGAAAAAAATACAGAATGTGCCCGAGCATTTATACTGGTTTCTCTCCAGAGCCCTCTGCAGCAATGCATAGCTCATAGGTTGTCACTAGTTGGCTTATTTATTTCAAGTCATTTGGCAGAGACAGCTGCTTGTGTTAAGAAAGAAACAAAACTATAAAAATATCTGTGGCTTGTTTTGAGATCATTTTGAGATCAGAAATTGCTGTCTAGTGCCATGAAAATAGCAAAATAAACTCTAAAGAGGCCAATAATGGCCATTGGTAATATATGATACAGAGTTGGCTTGCACAACTGGATACATTTGCAGTAAATCCAGAATACTTAATTTGTATTTTAAGCTAATTTATGAATGGGCTTTCTCCAATTAATTTTATGGAGACCTAGTGGGGTATAGTGGTTAAGGCACCAGACTAGAAACTGGGAGACTGTGAGTTCTAGTCCTGCCTTAAATACAAAGTCAGCTGGATGACCTTGGGCCAGTCCCTCTCTCTCTCTCTATCCTGAGAAGAAGGCAAGAACAAGCCATTTCTGAAATCTTCCCAAGACAACTGCAGGGACAAATCCAGGCAGTTGAAATACAATTCACTTCAGTGCCAAAAGCAGCCTCCCATATTTAATTCTTGGTACATACACGTTGCTTTCTTCAGTGCAATGAATCAGAGGCTTTATGGCTATATATTTGATTGCACAAGACCACAGACAGCCTGATCAACTTCAGTAAGTCCGCTACTGTTATAGTCGGTACTGAAGCTTTTTAAATGGTTATTAATTAAATAACTAGATTGACTGTTCAGTTGGAGTTATTCTTAGCAACCACATAAATAATTTTCTCCAGGAACCCTATTAATACTGAGACGGTTTTCACCATTGGGGAAATAAGGAAGTACATGGGAAGGAGGGAAATTTATCCCCTCCCCATAGGAAAACTGTTTCCACCGACAACTGTTTTTTTATCTAGCTATAAAACGTGAATTAAGTTGTAATTATAAAATGTTGTAATAAAAGAATTATAATTGAAATATTCAACAAAAATTCTTTTGATACAAATATTAATTTTGAGAAATAGTTTATAATAAAACCCATCATGAAGAGAGAATGCCCTCCCTGCCCCCAGTGCACTTCCAATTTGGATTGTCCCTTGCCTCAGAATTGGCTTCTAAATCACTGAGCTACAAACGTCCCTCAACACAGAAGTAGGATTTGAAAAGACAACCTTGCGGCAGAGTGCGGAATTCCTGCTCCTGGGAATATGGTCCAGGTCCTAACGGTGTGATGGATCGCACACGCAGCAGGTAGGCTGTGTCAGGCTGCAGGTTGGCCAGGGTTACTTGAGGTTTCTGAAGGTGATGAACGGTGTAGTGTTTTTCTTCTCCCTGTGGAATTCAACAATCAGAACTGCTTTGTAAGAGTCAAAATGAGATGCAGAGCTACACAAATGAAGGGGACTGTCTTATAGATTTTGCAGGGGGACAATGGAGGAGCACATTTCACCTTCACAAAGTATAGAACCTCATAGTTTACAGAGCTCTGGCTGCGATGACGGGAAGGGAGCCAAGTCACAGAGAGGCTGCTGTCATTCTGCTTGTCCAAAATGATATTGGTCACCACCACTGGAGCTGCATGGAAGGAGAAACAAGATGGTCAAGCTTAACTTGCCCCTTTACAGCCGAAGGCAATGCCAAACCCATCCAAAGTTTGTATTTCTCAGTATTGGGTTACCTTGCTCTGTGGAAGTAACAACAGCCGGGATAAATTGCACAGATAAGGGGCCCGCTATGAAAGAGCACCGAGCAAGAGAAGCCAATCTCACCTATGAAATCCAATTTGCCAACATCCTTTGCATATCCTTTTCAAACTCTTTGACCTTTGGAGCCAGTTCCTCTACAAGCAGTTAGACTGGCATCTTGCTCCATGGTACATTTTGATTAGTGATTCTAGCGCCCAGGATGTACCCTGCATATATGATGGTCCAAGACATTTCTGTCCTGGAGCCAGAAGATCCCAAAGACTCTCCTGTTCTTACACACATCCACGTACCAACAACAGGACACAATACTATACTATAGGTATCATTGCCCATTTAAATTTTACTAAAAGAAACAGATACTATATTGAACTTAACAGAAGCTCCTACAATGAAATATGCTTACTATATAAATATGCCCACTATACAAGAATATGATAGAATTTCTAGCTTGGTTCACTATACAAGAATGTGATAGAATCTCTAATTTGGTTTGCTTTGCTATGGTTTTATCGATTTTTTTTCAAAAGTTGTTTTTTTATCAATGCTTTATTGGTACTTATTTTACATTACTGCCATCCATCCTCAGATATTGTCAATAAAAGCAGGATACCAATCAAATAAGTAAAAATAAAACAATTACATCCAAATTAACTTTAAAAGGAAGACCTAAAAAGATGCTCCCTATTAAATATTGGAATACTATGAATCAAAGCCGTGTTGTACACTCATTTAGATCATTATTTGCTCATAGTCTATTTGTCAAGTCACTGCTATTACTAAAACTATTTATTTTAAACTATTCTTCCTTTATTGTTAATTGCAATTATTAACCTAATCCCATAAATGTGTCAACATCATCTACCACTCAGAAGAATTATAATGTAGGATAGACTCTTATACATCAGCCCAAGATCTAGGAAAAAAGATGTGATAAAGACTGGAAAATCTTGTTTCCAGAAGCAACTGGTAGGCAAGGCAACTCATTTTCGTAATGAGGAAAGTGGAGAGGTGGAACTGAAATCCAAATAATTAGAAAGGTGATGAGAGACCCAGCTGTGCTTGGAAGTGGCTCCTATTGACATGGCCTGCAACTTGGACCAAGGAGGCAGAAGAGGAAAAGGCAGGATACCAAATTAGAGTCTTTGAGCCTTTAAAAGAGTTCAAAGTTCCTGATGATATGTGTTTCTAATGTGGTCACAATGGATGTTTCTGCTAAGGAAATGACTTGCATAAGTCCTTTTGTCACTGCCTACTTAGATATGTTCTGGCTTGTCTGGTTCTCCGTGAATGATCAAATAAGTCCTTTCTGTAGCATAACAAAATGACTTCTCAAAGCCAGACTGGGAATCATTTAAGTGTTTGTCGTGGAAATATGTTGCTCAAAGTAGTTTTAGCACCAGCATAATCCTAGATTAAAGAAGTAGATACCACTTCATCGGGATTGAGAACTTTAAAAATCAAATATATTTGTGTTAGTGGCCTCTGGTGGAGCTTTGAACACATAGCAGCAATGTACAAACTGATTTTTGGAGGGTTAATATGAGCTAAAATACGGTAAACTTCAGGTTTTATTCTCCAGAATTCTGAATTTCAAGAATCAAACAGAAAGGCAGAGCTGCTATACCAGAATAATCAGGTATGAGAGAATTGAAAGGGCATCTATATCATCAACACCAAATTACCAAATTAATCTGATCTAGTTCTTAGTGGTCTCTGTTAGCATAAATGTTACTATGATGGCTAACATTTAAATGGAAAATTGCTTTTTTCCCCCGTTACACATAAACAGTTGTGGTTTAAGCTCTAAGGAAAGATTATATTCCTCAAAGGAAATGCTTCTTTCAAGAATGATACCATTCGTCTTATCATTTATATAACTTCTTCAGTGTTTTCAATCCTTTTATAAAGTTCTCCATAATATTTTCATCAACCTGCACAGCAGGTTGGGATGATGACCTCCAGTAGACCTGAAGAGGTAAGTCTGATAGTGAATGGCTTCCTTTGGCAGATCTGGAGGGAAGCCGGGGCCTTCTCCATATCACTATTTGTCCTAGTTCTAATTGTCCGTGTGGATTTGCCATGCTGTCTGGGACTGATGAAAGTTGGCATCCAAAACTAGGCTCTCCATTCCTAACTGAATATAATTTATGGTTGACATTAGTACTGAGACAGAGAATCACTTTTAACTATTACAGCATACCCTCATCTTATGAACTATATGCACACAGCTGTCTGTCCCAAAGGTGCTTTTTCCAAAAGGCAATTGGACTTTCTTGTTGTTTTTTTTCTTTTCTTTTCTTGGAAAACATTTCACTTTCTCATCCAAGGAGCTTCTTCAACCATGACCTGGATGATTGAGAATCTCCATAAACACAGATGGCTGCTTTTAGCTAGCAAAAGGAACACAACAAGAACTATAGTTCAACTCTACTACAGCTTTGGTTGCTCACTTCCTGAGGATGCAACATCTTTCCTCCTTACCCATTGCAGTAACTCACCTGCATGGCCCACAGACACCCAGACGGGGGAACTGGTACTGTTGCGTGAGGCAAGGCTGAGCCCTGATACTCCATTATGAGCCCGTACAGTGAAGCTATAATTGGTATAAGCTTCCAAACCATCCACGACCACATTTGGCTTGAGAAGGCCTAAAGCACTGGGGGAAAACATCACACTACTTTCACAAGGTTCGCACACCAGAAAATGGCAAAGTTGGCATGAAACACTGTAAGTGAGATCCTGGCGCCCACCCCGATCAAGGGGAGGTTGCCACCAAAGGGAAATCTGTGTCCCCACAAGGGAGAAGTTGAGATGGCGTGGAGCAGAAGGAGGGCCTGGAAAATCAAAGAGAAGAAAGGGTGTTAATCATTCCATACTGCAAAATCCTGTTTCACAGTTTTTATACTTTTCTTAGTTTATATATTCAATACATAATGAGATTCTGCAGTGGTGCCCATCTTTATATTATGAGTTCTTTCCACTGGGCACAGTTTACCTGCAAGCAGTGGGCAGAATATGTTCAGTGGATTTCAACATAAATAGGGATGATGGGATCCTTAGCCTAAAATACCAAAGGAAAGGGAATCTATTGCATCTCTGTGCTTGGACACACATCTTCACCTTACAATATATCCCCAAAGCATTGAGACCTCCACTGGGAGAGAAATGGAAGTAGGTAAAACAGACAGATAGCAGTACAGTAGTACAGCTCCACTACATTTTCATCTTCATTTTACAAGAGATGGGAGGGCTTCATTCTCCCAAAGACCATCTTCCCTGCCTAGAAGCAAGTTGTCTCTTCTTGGAGGACTTACTTGTGCAGGCCACAGTTTGGTCCTCAGTGGATGTCCTAAAGAAGCCTTGGATGCAGGGGCAGCTTGTAGCGGCAGAAGAGTGGGAGATGCTCTTGGGAGGACATTTCAGACACTGCTCCATTTCTAGAGAGTGACGATAGAATCCAGGCTGGCAGGCTGTGCAAAAGACAAATACCTCATGAATACTTCCAAGGGAATAGGTATACCCAAATTAACCTTCAAACTGCATAGTCATATACACGATAGAAATAATATTTTTTTATCCAAACTTGCAGAATCTTATTTTAGAACCGAAAAGCAGGTTAATAATTAGCTATTTTTATATTTTAACTCATGGTGAATTTCACTTAGAAAATTCGTGCTATTGAATTAGGTATGATAAACAATAATTTGGCTTCTACAAGTTCCATAGACTGGGTGTACAATTTCTGTTGGTTCAAGGATCACACTAGGACTTGAACAATATATCAAGCATTATGGTTGAAAAATCATGGCTTCAGGACCCAAAATGGATAGCAGGACCACAATTTAATATTTACTTTATTTTCATTTTTGTGTTATGTTAATTTTAATTTTAGTTCTATTGTTTATTGTATTGCTTTTTTGGGAGATAGCAAAATTCCAACACAAAAAATACAGATTTTTTTCATCATCAAAGAATATTATAAAATTGAGAATTAAATTATTTTAATATAATTTGAATTATATTAATACTATTTGTATTTGTACTATCATTTCCTGGCTTTCCTCATGCCTTAGATCTTCAGATTACCTTTCTGATACTGCCACACTTCCAGTTTTACTATAGTATTTTTAAAGATAAAGGTAGTAGCTTTCCTAGTGGATTTTATATTATGATGATATCTATTTTCTGGATGCCTAGAACACAAAACCGTAATCCAAGCTGCTAAGCCTTACTGTTTCTATCTGGAAGCTAGGCACCAGCTTAAGCTGAGTAGAAAATGGTTGCACTTATACCAAATATTAAAGTTCCTTGCTCCCTGTATTACTGTAAATTGTTATAAAGTATGGGTGACATTGAATTGCTTCTTTGTATTTTGGTACGGAGCTGTAATAAAGATTTATCTATTCATTCATATTGTATATATACATTGGATAATAATCATGGGGTCCAATTTGGATGAGAAACGTATTTACATCTAAGTTTCTACCAATGCTCTGTTGGAATGCAGAATAAGCTTAGGCCAGGGGTGTCAAACTTGCAACATCATGTGACGTGTCGCAACGTATTGCAACTTTTTTCTATTGCCGGCAATGGGGTGGGCGGGGTTTCACCATGACGCATCCGGCCCGTGGGCCGGCAGTTTGACACCCCTGGCCTAGGCTATTTATTGGGTTCAACTGAGGACTAACTTAGATATAAAATTTGTCATGGTATTCTGTCTGGATCAGAACTTGTGCACGAGGAGAGGGAGAGTTTAATCATTTGTTTTTGCTACATTCTAAGTCAGAAACTGGTTCATCTTTTCCCAAGAGAAAATGTCCAATTCTTATGAATGCAAAAAAAAAAAAATATCTTCAAACTCTGCAGGCAACAGTCCTGCTAAAGGCTCAGAAACTTGGGAGTCATTTGTAGTGGTGTGGAGGGATTCAATTTGAAGCCCCATGTAGGGACAATCCAGATAGGGACTGATCCAGGCGATGATCAAACCAGATACTGTATTATTGTCAGCCACTTTCACACTACCATCCCTTCTCATTAACTGAAAAGCTCATTAACTGAAATGACAAGTGACCTGCAATGATGTGGACTTTTGCTAATCCAGAGACTGAGAATAAGCTGAAAAAATCATTGCTCTTGATCCTGAAGTAACCAAAATACCCCTATTGCCACTCTACCCAAAAAGTGAGGAAGGAAGGAAATGAAATAAAAAATCCCTAAGAAGCCTGGAACCTTGTAATAGTTTGGACATTGCCTAAGAGAATGGGAAACTGACAGGCTTTTGTCAGTTTTCACACTTGCTATCTTTGTTTGAGCATATGGGTGGGCGGGGGGGGGGGAGCTACCAAGCTGTCAAACCAGAATTCCCTTTATCTGATCTGTGGAAGCTGCTGAAGCTCAGGAGCTGAGAGGAAGACAAAGTTTCCTTCAATGAGGAATCAACAGCTCTAGTGATTTCCACTGAAAACCAGCTTCAGAATGGTTAAGTTAGAAATCGGCTTAACAGTTGGAATCACTTTTTGCGAAAGTGCCAGCAATCCATGAATCTTGTTTTAGTATTCTTCTCCTTCTTTCTCCCTTGAGCTGAGTTTCACATCTCAATGCCCCACCTTTAAAAAAAACAACCAGCTGCCACTAATGGCTCCATGGAGAAAGAAAGAAGCAGAAAAATGAAGATTGTTGCCAATTCTTTTGTCCCCACCCAAAACTTTCCCAGTGGTTTTCCCAGACCCACCCGTGTCAAAAGGCATCATGGCATCAATGTCTGAGAAATGAGTTGTCCGGGCCTTTCCCCTCAGCCCTTCCTAAGTGCCCTGATGTCCTTTGTTAGATATTATGCAAGAGTTGCCATAACATATTTGGCTGTATTATTTCTGCAGACACAAAATAGAGGAGAATTGTTACGTGGGTGGCATTAAAGGGAGCACTGGAGACCTGTGGAAGGAGGCAGCAAAGGTGACATAGGGAAATCAGTAACAGGTTCCAGCTGGATTATGTCACCAGAGGGAGGGAAAGGAATGAAGCTAGGGAACGTTACACCACACATGTCCTCGCACGATAAATAAAAACAGCAGGTGGCAGCACCTGCCATAGGAAGATAGATTTTCCTTCATAGTCCAATATAAATATATTGGATTTTTTTTTCAAACTAAGTCCATTAACTTGTTTAAAGCTTTCATAATGGTTGTTAAAACTACTTTCCAACACTATATTGAATAGCATTTAGAACTGACACACAGTGTGGTCCAAATAAAACTGTATATCATGAGGCCAAGTATTCTCACTGAAAGGGCCTAAAGCAGGGGTACGTAGCCTTGGCTCTTTTATGACTCGTGGACTTCAACTCCCAGAATTCCTGAGCCAGAATGGCTCAGCTTGGAAACCTCTCCCTTTCCCCTCAGCTTAGCTGGCTCAGGAATTCTGGGAGTTGAAGTCCATGAGTCATAAAAGAGCCAAGGTTGCCTACCCCTGGCCTAAAGGAGTCTGATATCGTATTTTCAGCCTAAGAAATCCTATTAACAGGTACAAGCTTTTGCGAGCTATAGGCTCACTTCATCATATGTATTATGGAGTTGTATGAGATTCCTTATAATTGTTGGTTACTATAGTCTAACTTGGTTCTCTCGTAGTTTTCCCGAAGGGGGGAAACTGTACCTTTCAAATGCAAATGTGACTCCAAAGAATTGAATCATGTTTTCTGCAAGAGAAACAGCAGATTGATTCATTTTAATGAAATTAATTTTTCTTTCTTCTATTAAAAGTCTCCCACAAGCTCTCAGTCATTTTGTTCCACAGCAATGTCATTGGCTTAAAATTGGTGGGCATGGGCTGACAAGGCCTACAACTTTTTAACGTGTGTTGGATGCATTACGCAAACATTAAAAAGGGGCAGGGGTTTGCTCGCTTGATCACAGCAGCCATTTTGAAGCCAGTGACTACTGTTGCAGATGGCCTTGCCTGAAGATCACCTAGATATGCTCATAATGTCCAGATAACAATCCTGACAATAGCAGTGAAGGGATTTACCACTGTCTTTTTCCAAGATTTTTTTTCTCAATTTCCAGCACTGTGCTAAGATAGAAGGCAACAAGGATCATTCTTGTTTTTCATCCTTCTCTATAGAAAGTCTTCCCCCTTTCCTAGATTATCAAGCATGAAAACTGTTCAGCAAGAAGTTATTCATGAGGGGTCCTTGGTGCTCCCTGGGCTTGCTTGTTTTCTCGCTGACGTTTCATTACCCAAACTAGGTAACATCATCAGTGCTAGTAAGGAGTGCAGTTTGCTGTCAGTTTATATTCTAGTCACAGGAGTCCCCAACCTTGGCAACTTTAAGACCTGTGGACCTCAACTCCCAGAATTCCCCAGCCAGCCATGCTGGCTGGGGAATTCTGGGAGTTGAAGTCCACAGGTCTTAAAGTTGCCAAGGTTAGGGACCCCTGTTCTAGTGGCTTGCCTATCAGCGTTGGTGTTGGTGGGGGTCTTAGAAATTCTTTGGTTGGGCTGTTTGCTGTTGGCTTCTTGGGCAGTTTCTTGATTGGGGTATTGTTTATTTGATTGTTAGTCTGATGTTAACCTTGGAGTTATGGTATGCTGATCTGGGTGGTAATTGCTGATGGAGAGGTGCTTGGGTCTTTTTGTTCCTTTTTGGGCTGGGTGATAGTTTCTTTTGCATAGTCTATAGATGTTGTTAATGTCTATGTATCTATTGATGGCTGATTTGTCAGAGTGCCAGGCTTCTAGAAATTCCCTGGCATTTTTGGACTTGGCTTGGCCTACGATGGTCACATTTTCCCAACTGAAGCTATGGTTAACTCTGTCTATATGTTGTGAATTTTTTTTAAAAAAATCATCATGTCTTCTGACTGCTAGTTGGTGTTCATGGATGCGTTCTGCCAGTTTTCTACCTGTTTGTCCTACATAGTGGTTGTTGCTGCCCTTACATTGTACGTTGTAGATGATTCCTGTTTTTTCTTCTGGGTCTTTTGGTCTGCTTAGGATGTTTTGAAGGACTTCAGTTGGCTTGTGTGCTACACTGATTCCATGTGGTTGTAGTAGTCTGTTGGGGTTTCTGAAATATTATTGATGAATGGCAGTGTAATTCTTTTTAGAGTTTGTTTTGGTTGGGCTGTATTGGGTCAGGGGCTTTTTGATAACCATTTTGTTGGAATATGTTGCATATATGCTCTATTTCCTTTTTCTGCTGTTCTGGGTTGCTGTAGTCAGTGTAATGCAGAAGACGCCAGATCATGCCAAGTCCAAAAACGCCAGGGAATTTCTAGAAGCCTGGCATTCTGACAAATCAGCCATTGATAGACATATAGACATTAAAAACATCTATAGACAATGCAAAAGAGACTAACACCCAGTACAAAAAGGAACAAAAAGACCCAAGCACCTCTCCACTAGCAATCACCACCCAGATCAGCATAGATTAATTCCAAGGTTAACATCAGACCATCAAGTAAACAATACC